TTTGAGACTAAATTCCTTACATAGAAAAAAATAAAAGTCTTATACTAAGTTTTGGAATGAATGTCATGGAGTAAAATCCTTAGTGGGAGTTAGGGTCTATGGTCAAAATAAATTCTCATACATTAAATGCAAGTATGACATATTTTGATCTTTCACTTATTTCCTTAGGCACCTACTCATGACTTTAAAACAGTGGGGTATCAGTATTTAAAAGTTCAGGTAGAAAGTTACAATTCCTCTCTCAACTTCACTGGAATTTTTTAAAAAATTAATTATGTATATTTTACATTTAAAGTTATAACAGATTGTAAGCTGCCTTGATTAACACTGATAATATACTCTTCTACATTTATATTTTCAAAAATTGACATAAAGGTGAGAATGAGATCCATCTACAATAAGCATCTCAAAAGCATTCGGCATGTAGTACTTTTGAGCTTATGTTGGCAGAAGTATACCAAGGGTAGGGTACTGGGGAGCCTCTGCCCAATAAGGAAAAGTAGTTTTCCTTATTGCTGCTGCTAAAAGCAGGCTGACTTCATAGATTATGTTGTTTTTACATTATCTGCAAACAGTGCACCCCTTATTGCCTACACTAAGGTTGACAGCTGTGATTCCTTGCTCTTGGAATGCACTGCATACAAAGCATCAAACACTGGAATAGTGTTTGATTTTTATAATGGCTTTTTTTTTTTTTTTTTTTTTTTGAGACGGAGTTTCGCTGTTGTTGCCCAGACTGGAGTGCAATGGCATGATCTCAGCTCACCGCAACCTCCGCCTCCTGGGTTCAAGCAATTCTCCTGCCTCAGCCTCCCGAGTAGCTGGGATTACAGGCACGCACCATCATGCCCAGCTAATTTTTGTATTTTTAGTAGAGACGGGGTTTCACCTTGTTGACCAGGATGGTCTCGATCTCTTGACCTCGTGATCCACCCGCCTCGGCCTCCCAAAGTGCTGGGATTATAGGCGTGAGCCACCGCGCCCGGCCGGCTTTTTTTTTTTATTTTAAGATGGAGTCTCGCACTGCTGCCCAGGCTGGAGTGCAGTGGCATGACTTCGGCTCACTGCAACCTCTCCGCCTCCTGGGTTCAAGTGATTCTCCTGCCTTAGCCTTCCCAATAGCTGGGATTACAGGTGCCCTCCACCATGCCTGGCTAATTTTTGTATTTTTAGTAGAGACGATTTCACCATATTGGCCAGGCTGGTCTCAAACTCCTGACCTTGTGATCCACCCACCTTGGCCTCCCAAAGTGCTGGGACTACAGGCTTGAGCCACCGTGCCCAGCCTATAATGGCTTTCATGTTGACCCCAAACATGACTCCATAATAGATGTAATTAGAACAAAGAAAATTATGAAAAGAAATCCCAGAAAAGTTGATGTTATAATGATGGCTTTTGATATTTTGCATAGTTCTCATTTGTCTGTTTTTATATTTCCTTCTAGGAATTTCTTCAATGAGTCAACAGAATTGGCACTATTTGAAATGCTAACAGTATAATTTGATTAAACCCAAATATATTCAATTAGACCTAGATATTATATTCTTCTGATTCACTATAACACACAGCTCTATTGAGTTATCTCTATAGTACTTTAAGAGCAAAATACAACAACCTCACAATCTGTTACAACAAGCAAGATCCCTATACCCCCAAGGAACAAAACCATTCACAACAGAAAACTAAATATTTTTTTAAATGGCTACTTAATGATTCTTAGAATTTAAAATGATCTATTAATAATTATATAATTGAAGTAGAACAAAAGGAATTATTTTAAAACCATACTTGTATTTTGTATTATTGTATTTTCAAGCTTACTATAGCATATATATATAAAGCCAGGTATAATTTTTCAAGTCCAAAGTGGTAAATATTGTTAGAAGTTATGTGATCTAAAGTGTCTTATTTTTAAATGAACCATTCCTTGGACCCCACACCCCAATTACCAACAACAAATTATAGGCATATGCTTACTTACCTTTCACTTCCCACAGTGATGTAGGATTCCAGTAGTTCTAAGACAGATGACTGGAGTGGGAGGGAGACAGGAGGGAAAGAAGTTTATGTGAAAGTATTCCATAGACGAGCAAAGAATTTTCAAAAAATATTTTGATAGAATATATTTCTCTGGCCTAAGGACTGAAACTTAAATTCAACCTTTGGCTATCTCTACACACTAAAGAATCTTCTTGGTTAGTACTGACTGCCATTTAAAAATAGACAACTCAGTTTTTATACTAGTTCCTTTTCCTTTGTTTACTATTCACTCAGAATATTATGAGAAGAAGCCATCCTAGATTGAATTTGAATAGAAATTGTGGAGCCATTCAATAGAGAATTACAAGAAATAGCAGTTTGGGATAAATTCTAGTGGCCTAACAACATACACTGAAGAAAGCAGTTAGGACTTAAGTGGTTTTACCTTTAAAGAATCATGAATGATATGCCAAAACAAACCAAAAAACCCCACATTTGATTGTAGGCAGAATAGGATTTATTTTTATAAAACAATATCTCAACTAGTTTACTTATTTTTCCCCTCTGCTAAAATATCCCTGAATTTTTCTACCAAAAACATGTGTATAAAAAACTTTTAATTCATGATTACAAACCAGCAGCTATTGGAGTGTCTTGAGAGGCTGGATTAATGTTATTCATTTTCATTTGTGGCTTGTAGTTGCACTTCACCGTCCTATCCTCTACGAGTAAAAAGGAGTGTGGAGTTAGTTGAGTTCAACTAATTGACAATTTTGATAATTTAGAACTCTTAAAATTGTCAGTTTTGTTGTTACTTTTAGTATGCTTTTTTTCTAGATGGGAATAATGAGAACAGGGAAAGGTATCTTAATACTGACGAGTCAATCTCCTTTCAAAATTCCCATCACCTGGGAGAGTTGGGCAGCATCTGAATTGTTCCATTCAAGGCCTGGGCCTAAGCCCATCGGTCTCTCTAGACACTTTCTTGGCCAGTTCCAGGTGTCACCAGCTGTTAAGACATGACTAGAATGACACAGGCTATCATCTTATTAATGGAGTACATTAAATGATATTTTCTAAATCAGCCTTTTAAAAAAATCTATGAATCACTACCCTGCATTTAAAATCAAAATCTTATTTTTCAAATTCAACACAAAATAATTAGGAGGGAAATTACTATTTTTGCCATATAGAAAATAATCTTGCTTTACCAAATAAACGCTTGATCAAATGAAAGCACTTTGAAAACTGAAGCATCATGTATGTTTAAGATTAAATTATAAGTAGGTTTTCCATACAGTTGGCTGCCAAAATGGGATAACTGTTTGGCACACATGGTTGTTTATTTTATATAAATGCATAAGATATCTAAGCAAATTATCAGTTTTAGTTATACATGTTATCAACGGTATAAATAAGAGTGTTCTCTGGGAAGACTCATGAATTCTAACAAATATTTTAAAGACTTGCTGAATTTATTTTTATAGCTATAGAAGTGTTTCATGACTATTTCTTTGATTTATGAGTAAAAGAGGATGTTTTCTACTGGATCTTTGAGCACCAGTTTTTGGCTACTTATTACTTTTTAGTAACAGTTACATTTGTGAACTATTGAACTGTGGCTGGAAAATAACTTTAAACTGGTAAGAATTTTAAACTGTATTTTTCCTCAAAGAAACTATAAAACAAAAAGTTAATTTTTTGCTTATGTATAGGTATATGATCAAATAAAAAGCAAATCAGTCTTCATTTAGCATCTGAGACTTTTAGCTCCTAAATACAAGAAGTGTATTAGAATTAAATTTAACATTACCATAGTGGCCTCTCCTTCATAAACGTTCACAGGGAAGCTCATTCCCCTTAGCTTACAAGTAGCTGCCAGTGTAAAGAATATTTTGTCTCTAGCTCATAGGATCTCAGTAGCCAAGTAAAGAGAATGTCAAGACTTTAAGGGTAATGGAACCTATAATCATAAGTATTCTAGTGGATTGTGAACAAATAAATCAGAAAAGAATACTAACATACACTTTTCCTGAGTTACCTTCAGTGGTATGAGGTATTCTTGGTAAGATTTATTTAAAAATTCAGTGTTTCCCATGAGAAAAGAAGGTAGGTTTAAGCATCTGATTATGTGAGTATAGCTGGCCCTTCACCCTCAGGACATGGGCCAGTACTGTGGGGTTTAGTTCTTATATGGGAAAGAATCCGTGCCTCTTCTAAAGGGTGAGTTGGTAGCTAACGTTATGTATTTTCTGAAAACATCAAAAAATGACATCTATATGTAAAGATGGAAATTTCTACAGGCTTTTAATTTATAGGCATTTTACTGCTTTATGTTTTCTATCAACCTTTTATTTTTGCTGATAGAGCTGAAAACTGAAAGTCCCATCGCTCAAGGAACTTACAGTTCAGTGATGTTACTTATGAATAGAGTAAAGCAGGGTAAGGAAATAGAAAACTAGGGATGCTTTTTCAGGTGGAAATGTGTTTCTGAGCTCATACATACATAAAGCTGTAAGAACTATATGTAAACTTACTGACCAAAAAATGCTTTTCGAATGTATGCATGCTCAAAAAGAGCAAGTATCATAAATTGTATCTGAACACAGAAATCATATCCAACCAGCTTTGGTGGAAGAAGAGCACTTACAGTTTTAAGTCTTACATTTGGGTCTTTGATAAATTTTGAATTAGTTTTTGTACATGGTATGAGGTGGGGTCCAACTTCATTATTTTGCATGTAGATATCCAGTTGTGTCCATACAATTTGTTAAAAAAACTAATCTTTCCTCATTAAATTGTCTTCATATGTTTATTGAAAACCAATTGACCACACAGGTTTATTTCTGGACTCAATTTTATTCCATTGGTCTACATGTCTATCCTATGACAGTACCACACTGTCTTGATTATGTAGTAAATTTTGAAGTCAAAGTGTGAATCCATGAACTTTGTTCTTCTTTTCCAATATTTGTTGGTTATTTGGGGTCCCTTAAGTTACCAGTTGTCTAAAATTCTACAAAAAGGCAGATGGAATTTTGATAGGAATTGCATTGAATCTATAAATCAATTTGGGGAGTACTGCCATCTTAGCAATATTCAGTCTTCCAATCCATGAACATGAGCTGTCTTTCCATTCTTTTAACCATGTTTTTTAGTGTTCAGTGTACATGTCTTGCATTTCTTTGGTTAAATTTATTTCTAAATAATTATTTTTGATGCTGCTGTAAGTGGAATTGTGTTCTTAATTTCATTTTCAGATGGTTCATTGCTAGTGTCAAGAAATACAACTACTTTTTGTATATTGATGACTATTTATTTTTGGTGGATAGTAAATTGGTTTAGAAACACATGCCATGAATCAAAAAACTTAGGTGGTGCTTACCCATACAAACTAATTTAATAAGCAGAAACCCCAACTACTTTTTTGTTATTGTTGATAAAAATTTTAGCTGGTTATTTTAAAGACTATTTCCTTAGGAGTTGTTTCTATTTTATTTCTAGGTTAAGGGTGGTGAGAGCACAGAGGGTCATTTGGCATTTGTAGTCTATAATGTGAGATCTTTCATACGTATTTTTCCTATAAGTGAAACACAAAGGAACAATCCTGAGCACCCCGTGTCTCTCTGTATCTTGAGAATACTTATTATATACTCCTCAATGTTATATACCATATTTTACAGATTAATTATAATGCTGACAAAGTTAATTTATTCAAAAAAGCTTCTACGTGCTAGATGCTAAAAGAAACAAAGTTTAATAAACCACAGATCCACCAAGGAACATACAGCCTGTTGAAGAAAGACAGACAAGTAAACAGGCAGTTACACTGGAGTTTGTTCATTCAACAATCCTTTGAATGTAAACAATGAGCCTGGCACTGTAGTGACATACCAATGAGTAAAACAGACCAGGTCTCTGTTTTTAAGGGGCTCACAAGGTAAAGAGGAATATAATAACTCTGGTAAAAATATAGAGGGTACTGTGGGAGTATGGAGGAAGGGCATCTAACTTTTAGGGTTAAGGTAAATGAGAACACATGGTATTTGGTTTTCTGGTTCCTGCACGAACTTTTTAGGATAATTGGCCTCCAGTTGCATCCATGTTGTTGCAAAGGACATGATTTCATCCTTTTTTATGGCTAATATTTTGTTTTCCCTGCAGTTAATTATTCCCTCTTTTTAAAGTTGCTTAGTTTTATCTATCTCTGTCTCTCTCTCTCTCTTGCTCCTTTTTTTTGTTTGTTTGTTTGAGATTGGGTTTCACTCCGTCACTGAGGCTGGAGTGTAGTGACACAATCATAGCCCACTGCAACCTCAATCTCTTAGGTTAAAGTGATCTTGCCACCTCAGCTTCCTGAGTAGCTGGGACTACAGACATGCACCAGTACACCTGGGTAATTTTTTTTAAGGTAGAGACGAAGTCTCACAATGTTGCCTAGCCTGGTCTCAAACTTCTGAGCTCAAGCCATTCTCCTGCCTCAGCTCCCAAAGCATTGGGACTACAGGTGTGAGCCACCACACTTGGCAGTTGCTTAGTTTTCTCTATACCTATCACCATTACATATTCTTATGTTCCACAAAATTGCAAATTTTGTTCAAAAGGTTCAAACATATTAGATAATCCATCATTTCCAATTTCTTTTCTTGGAGACATCCCTTCTGGAGCCTTCCATCCTAGTGTGCTCTCAAGATCTGCTACACAGCTGACTTCCTGGAACCTCCCTTCACCTTCATCTAGGGCAGGGGTATCCAATCTTTTGGCTTCCCTGGGCCACACATAAAATACACTAACAATAGCTGATAAGATTAAAAAAAAAAAAAAAGAAAAATCATGAAAAGGTATAATGTTTTAAGAAAGTTTACAAATTTATGTTGGGACACATTCAAAGTCATCCTGGGCCACACATCACAGCTTGGACAAGCTTGATCTAGGGAATTCTCTTTGTTTTCTACTTTGTTGGAGTTCCTGTTTACCAGATCCCATGTTTTTCTTTTTCTTTTTTTTCAGACAGAGTCTCACTCTGTCACCCAGGCTGGAGTACAGTGGCACAATCTCAGCTCACTGCAGCCTCTGCCTCCCAGGTTCAAGCAATTCTCCTGTCTCAGCCTCCCAAGTAGTTGGGATTACAGGCAAGTACCACCATATCAGCTATCTTCTTTTGTTGTTGTTGTTAGAGATGGGTTTCAACATATTGGCCAGGCTGGTCTCAAATGTCTGGCCTCAGGAGAACCACCCCCCTTGGCCTCCCAAAGTGCTGGGATTACAGGTGTGAGCCACCGTGCCCAGCCACGTTTTTCTGTTTCTTGATTTATACCTTTACTTGGGTGGAGTGCTCCTTCCAGCAGTTTCCTGAGTGAAAAGAGTATATGAAAATTAAAAATTTTGAGAATTTCTTGATTTTAACGTGTTCTGATTTTCTGTACAGCTTTTATTTCCTCCTAGTTCGTTTTTTTGTTTGTTTGTTTTTTTCTCTTGAGATGGAGTTTTGCTCTTGTTGTCCAGGCTGGAGCGTAGTGGGGTGACCTTGGCTCACTGCAACCTCCACCTCTTGGGTTCAAGCAATTCTCCTACCTCAGCCTCCCGAGTAGCTGGGATTATAGGCATGTACCACCACGCCCAGCTAATTTTTTCATATTTTTAGTAGAGGTGGGGTTTCACCATGTTGGCCAGGCTGGTCTCAAACTCTTGACCTCTGGTGATCTACTGCCTCAGCCTCTCAAAGTGCTAGGATTACAGGTGTGAGCTACCACTCCCAGCCTCTAAAGTTCTTTTTTTTTCTTTTCTTGTTTGTTTACTGCATGTAAGGAGGTTTCTTCAAATATATGCAGATCCTCAACTATTCATCACATTTAAGAATGAGGTGATAGCTGGGTGTGGTCTCTTGCCTGTAGTCCCAGCTACTTGGGAGGCTGAGACAGGAGGATCTTTTCAGGCCAGGAATTTGAGGCCCACCCGGGCAACACAGAAATACCCCATCTCTAAAAAACTTTTAAAATTTTTATTATTTTTAGAGAGGTCTCACTCTGTCATGAAGGCTGGAGTACAGTGGTGCAATCACAGTTCACTGCAGGCTCAAACTTCTGGCTCAAATGATCCTCCAGCCTCAGCCTCCCAAGTAGCTAGGACTACAGGCGTGTACCACCAGGCCCAGCTAATTTTTTTATTTTTGTAGAGATGGGCTCTCACTATGTTGGCCAGGCTTGTCTTGAACTCCTGGGCTCAAGTGATCCGCCTCAGCCTCCTCAAGTGTTGGGATTACAGGGGTTAGCCACTGCACCCAGTCAACATTTTTTAAATAATATAAAAGAATGAGGCAATACAATGTTGATGAGAGCTTCTGTAGGTACGATCAGGGTTTGCTGACTGTTGGACTGACTGTAAGAGACAGGTAACAAGCCACACTCTTTACCATGGGATCCCCAAACCTCAATATTTGGAGACCTCTTCTCTTGGACCAGCTAGCTTTCCTCTAAGAAGCAGCTTCCAGTCTCTTGACAGGATTCCAGCATTCCAGGATCTGAATTTGTGAATGAAGCTGAGGGAAAGGGGTCTGCCTTATAATTTAATATATACAACTTCACTTAATTCTGCTTTTCTGTGTAGTGAGTCATCCCTGTCCTCAGCTCTGTCTGGTGCCTAGGAGAACTCTGAGTCAACCTCTCCAGAGAGTAAAAGATAGATATCTTCTGCTGAATTTGGGCATCATGGAATGGAGTAGGGAATATGGGGGAGGCAGGATCTCATTGCTCTTTAGAAAACGTTCACAGTAAATTCTCCTTTCTAGCCTTGCTCATCCTCTGCTTTTGGAGGGAAGGCAGCTCTAGTTTTAGAGCTTTTCCAGGGTGCTGTGACATGGATACGTTCACTTCTGGCTGGCTCTGCCTCTTCCCAAAAGCTTAAGTATTCACTTTGGTGGCTTTGGTAAGTCAGTGATCACTCATCCATCTGCTTTCTGCATTCCTAAGTTTTGTTGGCATTTAATTCAACAGGGATCTCTTTCCCTGTCTGCTTTTTCTTTATAGATTTATATCTTTTTTATCCCTTTACTGTCATTTTAATGAGGTCTCTAGAGTAAGTAGAGACAAATGTGTGTTCAATGCACTATGCTTAACCAGAAGTCCCCTTGCCACTGGGCCTTAACATGTACAGATGTAATGAACTATAGCAAAGTGAATACTTAAGCTATAACAAATAGCAGTTTAGCCTACTCTAAATGTTATGCAAAATGTTATGGCTCCAACACAATAGAAATATATGTTGCTCACGTAATTGGGTATCCAGGTCAGTGGGTAGCTCTCCTTCATCCAGGCACCTTCTTTCTTGTGGCTCTGCCAACCCCAGAGGCTTTCAGTCATCTGCATAATTGAAGCAGAGTCACCGTGTCCAGGGTCCAGCTGGCAGAAAGGAAAATGCATGAAAGAGGCACAAGTACTCTCAAAGCAAAGGCCTTGGCCTGACAGTGGCAGACATAACATCTGCTCACTTTCTATAACTTAATACTTGACCATATGCACATGAAAGAGAGGCTGAGAAAAGCAGTCTGTGTGTTCAGGGAGAAGGGAGGACTAAATTGTGATGGACAATTAGCAGTCTGCCGAAATAATCTTACTCCTCATTTTGCTGAGAAAATAGAAGCAACTGGAAGAGAACTGCTTTCTCCCACTGTCAAATCTATCTACTTATCTTAATATGTCCCATATATGTGGGAACTGGGGAAGATGGGGTCCCTAGACTAACCTTGACCACAAAGGGGATCTTTCTTTCCAGGCTTTCAATGAGAAAAATGTGGTCTTAAAGACCGTACTACCTAATCACAAAATGCAAGCATACCTTCTTTCCTTGTGCTTTTCAACCTCTGTGGTTTTGGATCTTGATCAACACTCCTTCCAGCCATCCTTTTGTGAAACACCAGTTTACCTCTGCATTACCCAATTCTCCTCCCACTTTCTGCACCTCCCCACCCCACCGTTTCTTTGCTGGCTTTGCTCATCTAGATCAGAGATTCTCAAATTTTTTGATGTGGCACAAATCTCTTCAGGTTTTTTTTTTAAGTTGAAGACGCTGGTTCAGAAGGTCTGGGGCGGGGCCTGAGATTCTGAGTTTCTAAGTAACATCCTCACGTCAGTGCTGCTGGGCTATTGACCACGTTTTGAGTAGCAATACTCTAAAGAGGGTGTTTGCCAGATTCTGACATTTGTTTTCTTCTTTTATCTCACAGTGATATCACTCCTAGGCTGATTATTTATGAGTCTACTTTCTAGTTCAGTCCCCTTTCCCATATTACAAAACCTTTATTTCTAATTTACCAGTGTTCATGTCCCTCTGGCTGTCTTGACAATCCTTCGAATCCTTAAAATGTTCAAATCTAAACTGATCTTCTCTTAAGAAGTAGCTGCTTCTTCTTTCCTTTGTAATTGTCTCTTTTCTCTCTTACAATTATTTACAAACTCAAAACCTCCACTATCTTTGATTTCTCTCTTCCTACCCACAATTAATCAATCAGTTGCCAAATTCTACAGATTCTGCATGCACATCATCTCTCAACCATGCTCTTTTAAATTCCCTCGCTGTCCCTTTAGGTCAGACTCATCATTACCTTTACCTGGCCTACAGTAGATCTGTCAGTATTTCTACCTCTAATTTCTGCTTCTCCTCACAGATAAATCAATAGCACAAAGAAAAAAAAAAATCCTTTTCTTCCCCTAAATTTCTGAACCCTGAAAACTCAAAATACTGAATTAAATACAAATTCATCCATTTAGTATCTTAGACCCCATACTCCTTTGTCTCACTACTTCTCAACATATCCTGGAGTCTTTACTTTTTCCCCAACACACCTTTCACTGATTCACCTTCATATATATTCTCATGCGATCCCTCTTGCTGTAAAACACTCCCCATCTCCTTCAAGGTCAATCCTAAATGCCTACTCCTTCATACTGCCTTTCTTTCCTTTTCCCCAAGACAGATATACACGATTCTTTCATTCCCTGCAGTACTCTGCCACTTTTCACATGGCACCTATCATGGTTTGCTTTTATTGTCTGTTTTATCTTTGTTTTATTCCTTAGTCTTTGAAGGCAAAGTTATCTTCAACTTCCCTCTGTAACTCTACAGCATCTTATCTGTGGGGCGTCTAATATTAGTTGAATCAGGGGGATTTATAGAGATAATGTGATGTGCTGGTAAGCTCACAGAATTGGAAGCCAGTACAGCTGGGTGCTGGCTCTGCCGTTTATTAGCTGCGAGGCTTTGGGTAAGTCACTTAACTTCGCCTGTAAAATTAGACCACGACTACCTGATGGAGCACCAAGGGAGATAACGTTAAAGCGCCCTGCAACTCTACAGGGAACTCAGCGACGTTCGTTATTTTCCTTACAAAGATCCGATGGAGTCTTGCTATTGGAATCCTGACTTGCAGGACCATCCCTACTACATTGCCTGGAGGTCAAGCCCCAAGGTGCAGGGAACCCGAGCTACCAGGTCCCACCGCCCTTTTCCACCACAGGCCCTCTAACTGCTCTCCGCGACGCATGTGATCCTGCCTTGCTGCGGGGGAGTGGCCTGAAGTCCCATTCCCTCTGGAGGCCTCCCTCCTTCCACCCGCTCCAGGAGAGACCTTCTCCTCCCTGTGACCCCGAAGACCGTGGCGCCGCCGCCTACGTGAAGCGTTTGGACCCTGCCCGGCCCCCGTAGCTCCCCTTCTCCAGCAGGTGGTTCTGGTCCTCTCCCCCAACTCGGGCGCTCACGTCACTGGCGAACCTCTAACCAGCGCCAGCGCCGCCACCAACCGCGAAAATAAACAAACCCCCGCGCGCGGCGGACGCGCCAGGCCCCACCCCCGCCCCGCGGCTCTCACACCGCCCCCTCCGCCCGGGCTTTCCTCCACCCTCTGCCCGCCCGCTCGCCAGCTCGCAGCCGTGCTCTCCCCGCCCCTCACAGCAGCCTGCAGCCGCGCTCACCGCCGCGGTCCGCCCCGGCGCCCCGGGACCCGTTAGTACCTAGCCCGCGGGCCCACCGCGACCCCTGCCTGGCGCGAGCCTGTCCGCACCCCTGCCGACACTTGACCTAGCCCAGTCCCAACGCCCAGTACGGCCGCCCAGGGAGCCGCGAGAGAGGCGGCTGCGGGGGGAGGAGGGAGAGGAGAGCCGAGCCGGCGGCCCGGGAGGCCCGGTGAGTACGCGGAGGCGGGCTCGCCTTGCGGGGGTCCGCTCTGGCGCCCCGGAGGCGTTGGCGGCGGCTTGACCGCTCTCCCCTCGGCGCCCCGGGCTCGGTTGGTGGGGACTCGGCCTGAGGTGACGGGCCCCACTGGCCGGAGCCGCTGGGCAGAGGGCACGGGAGGGCCGCTCCGCGGAAAGGGCCGCGGCCCGACGCTCGGCGCAAAGCTCCGGGCGGCGAAGAGGGACCCGCACCCTTACCCCCAGGCCCGGCGCTCCGGCGGCGGCTGAGCTTCCCGAGACCCCGCGGGGGCCGCTCGAGTGACAGGTGCCACCGTCCCCTCCCCGCCGCTGGCGCCCGCGCTCCCTCCCGTAGAGCCAGGCGCTCGGAAATTTCTGGAGCAACGACCTGATTCGTTGTTTTCTCCCTTTTAGGTTTTGAAGCCGCTTCTCTGCGGGAGTTAGGTCTCGCCCAGCGCAATTTCTTTCTCTATGTACTTTGCGAATAAGTTTCAGAGCATCGCTTAACAGCCTATGGGTGAATTTGGCTTTCATTCATGAATGAGGTATAGTGAATTACTTTTTTAATATAGTGATCTTCCTCCTCCCCCGCCAGCTATTAAAAAGTAAATGAACAGGATCTTTTTTATTCTGTTATTGTTTGGAACAGCCTTCACGATTTCTGTCAGATCTCTAGCATTAAGGTGCTTCATAAATATTGAACAGTAATAGCAAAAATAGTTTATTAAATTTCTGATTGCCTTTTCTCTTCATCCTCTTTTTCATTCTTTACCTTCGCCAGGTTTTTTAGAATAGATGCTAATGGTTTCATTAGAACGACTAATGAAATATCACCTGTCTTACACTAAAAAGCCAGAGACGTTTTTCCTCACCATTTAGCATTGTCTCTTTGTGTAGTAAATGTGCTCGGGATTGTAACTGGAATTATTTAATAAATATGACTTGTAGCTATAAGAATATTTGAGAAGCTTATTGGCAAATTATTAAAATCTTCGTAGAAATCTAGATTTATTTTCTCAACAGGTTTATAACACTGTAGTGGCTTCACCCCTGGAGTAAGAGCAAAACCCAGAAGCTGACCAAAAGAACATTGCGGGGAAATGAAAATACATATACTTTACTCATGGGAGAATCCCTCAGGTCTTCACTCAGTACCTGCTTGTGTATTTTTTGCTTAGCTTTCTCGGCCTACAGAAAGTGGGAGCTGCAGATTGGAGAGGGGTGGCAATACTTAACTATGAGGAAAAAATGTAGTTTGGGGCATACCCATTGTGTTTACATCGTTTGCAGTGAGTGTGTTTAGAGCAGAGTTTCAGTATGCACCTCACACTTGCCGATTGTGAACCCTAATTTTTTTTTTTTTTCCCCTGAGACAGAGTTTTGTTCTTGTTGCCCAGGCTGGAGTGCAATGGTGCGATCTCAGCTCACAGCAACCTCTGCTTTCCAGGTTCAAGCAATTCTCCTGCCTCAGCCTCCTGAGTAGCTGGGATTATAGGCACCTGCCAGACTTCCAGCTAATTCTTTTTGGTTTTTTTTGTATTTTTAGTAGAAATGGGGTTTCACAGTGTTGGCCAGGCTGGTCTCAAACTCCTGACTCAGGTGATTAACATGCCTCAGCCTCCTGCAGTGCTGGGATTACGGGTGTGAGCCACCACACCCGGCCTGTGAATCCTAATTTTTAAAAAGCCAAAGTGAAGGATACTGTTTGGTTATTTGAAGAAGAGAACATGACATAACACAATTTTGATTTCACCAGGTGTTAAATCTGTGATACTTGGTGCCATTTCATATTATGTTTAGTTAATTTGGACCTAAGTTATATTTCAGTGAGGCCACACTAATTAGCATCCATGTTAATATCTTTTTTGTTCAGTCTAATTGGTTGGTAGTATTAATAGAAGATGACTATCATTCATCTTATAAAAAGTGATATTTGGTTGTTCTTGATTTAAGAATTTTATGTATATAATTGTGTGCGTATGTGTCCTGAAGTGTTCCAGTTGTTGTCTTCTGGACTGCGATATGGCTGCTGCTGTCTATCTGTCTTGACTCTAGTGAGGTCATAGTGTAGAGGGATTAAGATCATAATGGCAGTGTGCCTCCAGACCTCAACAGAGGTCAGCACTACCAGCTGCTTAGGAATTCTTCTGCTTGGCTTGGGTGTGGTGGTGCATGCCTATAATCCAGCACTTTGGGAGGTTGAGGCTGGAGGATTGCTTGTGCTCAGGAGTTCAAGATCAGGCTGGGCAACATAGTGAGACCCCATGTATACAGAAAGTGGGAACAAAAATTCTTGTGCTTGTAGTTTAGGTTTCATTTTTAAAAACAGTTTACTTAAGTAACAAATGCACCCTAATTCTTTTTAATTCTTTTAAATAAACACTTTAAAACCAGATATGCTTCCTAGACAAAATTGGTTGTGGTGATTAGTTGGTAGAATGGTACTTACCATAATGAAACAACTTTGAACTGCTAACAATTGCTCATGCACATCTGCATTATGGGAATTGAGGATTATCTGTAGAGCACTTCGCATTTTTCTTTTTCTGTTTGTAGAGCACATCTTTCACTGCATAGATAGCTGTGTACTTGAGGAATATAAACATGAAGAAAACACTAAGTTCAGTAAATGTGTCTTTTATGTGCCAGTTCCTGTGGTATTTGTAAGGGATAGAAAGAAACTCCTATCTTTCAGGATCTTGAAATCACAATCATGGGGGCTAGGCACAACAATAAAGAATTTTTTTGAATACATTCAATAGTAGTACGTTTAAAGTATGGAAATATTACAGAGGAGGGTATGTTTGACTTCAGGAACAGGTCAGAGAATGCTTCATAGATATTCTAGCACCTGAGCAGGATTTTGAGGAATAAGTGGAAGTTTTCAATGGAAGAGATGGATGGCATCGTAGACAAAAGAAAACAGCATAAAGATAAGAACAAGTAAACTAATTGTGTGTTGAGGAAATTTCAAGTTGTTTTTTCTTGGAGTACATGCAAAATCTGAAGAAAGAGGGTTGCTATGGAAAGCCCATACATGCTGTTATAAATAATTGTCCTTTTGGGTATGAAGTTTATGTAAAATAGAGACTTTGTTGTTATTTTGACATTACTGACATCTTTTTTTTTTTTTTTTTTTTGACAAAGGGTCTTAGGCTGCTGCCCAAGCTGTAATGAGGTGGCACAATCACTGCTCACTGCAGCCTCGAACCCCCAGGCTCAGGTGATCCTCCCACCTCAGCCTCCCAAGTAGCTGGGACCATAGACATGCACCGCTATGCCTGCTAACTGTTGTACATTTTGTAGAGAAGGGGTTTCGCCATGTTGCCCCTGGCTGATCTTGAACTCCTGGGCTCAAGTGATCTACCCACCTCAGCCTTCCAAAGTACCAGGATAACAGGCATGAAGCACCACACCTGGCCTGCTGCCATCTTAAGTATAGAGGAATTAATAGATTTTACTAGTGGTAGTCAATAAATTATGGAACATAATAGAAGATACATTTATATATGGTGAGCTGCCCACGTATTGAGAATGTGTGTTTCACATTTTGTTCTGAAATATTTCTGTTTTTAAAATTATCTTGTGAATTTATATTGTCTTCCTTCAGCCATACATTATCCTTGAAATTAGTTTTATCATTTATTTTTTGAGATAGGGTTTGTTATATTGTCTGGGCTGGTCCCAAACTCCTGGACATAAGTGAACCTCTTGCCTCAGCCTCCTAAGTAGCTGGAATTACAGGTGCGCACCACCAAGCCCAGATATCCTTGAAATTATTTTTAAAAGGACACTCAAAGGGAAGAGGGGAAAAATATAAATAATCATTAGATTTCTGTACCAAAAATCTGATTTGTATAGTATTTTAATAATATGTAAATGTTTAATGTACAGTGTTAGCCACCATATTCATAGACTAATGTATGTAACTTAATTGGCAGTCCAGTATGTTTTCATTTGCATTGTATACCTTAATTATATCATTATGTTATA